ATTATGGAACGTGTGCTTGGGGTCATCATGAAAAAGGGTTGATTCACTTCTCTCGGTTGATGAACTTGGTACTTCCAGAGCATCTCATCGGCATAGTAGACAGACAATATAGTTGTGTTTAATTCACCGGGTCATTATGAGCTGTGGTGCACCAGTCTCGTGGAGATCGCCGAATGTTCAGGTCTACAGTGATCTCCCACATTTTTGGCTTTCAACAATTTTCTGAAGATCAATAGCGATCCAAGTATTGAAAAGTTGGCTTCTTCTGATCACAAGGAGTTCGCCCTCTGTTGTAGACAATAAAGAATTTCAAATGCTGGTAGTTTGATTAGATGAAACGAGAGGAAACGACGTCTCGGAAAGACGATTTTGCTGTTGCTAAGTCAGTTCAGGCGGTGTCCACTTTTCCAGCTTTTTCACATCTCCAATTGTCTTTAGGAGCTGTAAGATTTTTTATACGCTCAACTCCAGTCCTGGTGCTACCTATAGCACAGTTGTTCCAGAAGCGCCTTCTATGGGAATCTTTAGAAAGGCGTCGTCATCAACAGAATCATGCTCATGGCTCCCCTCACCCTCACGATGGAGTTCTCGTAGACAGAAATATTGGAGCCAGTGCTGTGGTGCGCTTTAATTGGTGCTTCCTTGGCCCCATCCTTCAGCTTATTCAGACAGGTCCATGAGCCCTTACGTTGGAGTTTCAACACATCGAAGTAAACTTGTCCAAATCACTGTCTCGACATCTTTGGTTTAAACCTATAAAAAGCCCCTAAATAACAAGTCATATTAAAATCCACATATACTGGAGGAAAGAAGATACAATAGGCTTGCCAATGATATTTAGAGTTCCAGGTTTCAAAAGAAATTCTGTGTAAAAATATCTGAAGTATCCATGGTATCTCAAAACCCGCATTACTTTCCGAACAACCTGATATTCATCTTGCCACCTTCACCGGGGCATTGGCTCAATTTCTTGTTGCTGTTTTTTCATGGACGCTACTCGTTCTTCTCTTCTGATTGGCCGATGTCAGCCTTTGCGTTTGGAGCGATTTTGCACCAATTGCAGGAGCGATGCGTCGCTCCAAAGTGCGAGCGACGGGAGATTCACCCGAGCGGCGCCGAGTTATCGATGGTTGACGGGGTTAAATGCCCGCACTGGCAAGCGACGGGAGATTTACTCGAAGGGCGCCGAGTTATCAATGGTAGGCAGAGTAAATCACTCGTCACTCGCACTTTGGAGCTACGGATCGCCCCCGCAATTGGTGCAATATCGCTCCAATCGCAAAGTCTGACATCGGCCATTCAGTGTAAGGAGAGGAACCGCACTGAATCTCCCGGTACAGATGACAGTGCCCTCTACGATGCAGTGAATCTCCTTGTGTGTGAGCTCTGAAAGCTCGCATCTAAAAACTGTCCTGGACATCTGTTGGAAAAATATCGTTTGTAGTTCGGTCGTTACAATAGAAATAAGGAGCTTGAGCAGCGTCTAGCACAGAGATAGCCGAGAAAAACCGTCTTCCAGAAGAAGTCGGTGCTTTGAAACGTTCTCCTGCTCTTAGTGGAATGCCCTTAGTAGAATCCTGCAAACAGCCTGTCACTGATACAATTGTTTCATCTTTCCATTGTTGTGAAGAAAGAGAAAAGTTAAGATCGGTAGTAGTTTTTGGCACTTATGAATAAAGATCCCACTTACCCGCACTTCACATGATTTTGTATTCAAGAAAATTGTTCGGTTTCTTGTCTATCGATTGTTCTCCAGTCACGTCTCATACAATGGGAAAACTTAGCATTCCGAGGACTTTTTACTGGAGGGTCAACGTGGTACACGTGGTATCTGCGCCTCCTCATTCGAATGGTCTTTCTTTTCTCCGACCATCCTCCACTGACTACGAGTTAAAGAATCAGCTGTTGTCCTACATCCTTCAGCTGCTTTGTGCAGCATACTTTCCTTTTTTCTTGGTTTCTCTTCTTGCTTTTGTTATTCAAAGATAAATTATGGACCTCCTGTTTAATCTAGGGTTGGTTTGCGGTTTTCCGACTTCTTCTTCCATGGTAATCCTAGATCACCACCTCTAATTAGGAGTTAAGGGTACTTCACTACCGTTCCTGGTTGAGGGACCTGCGGACTTCCTGAGGGTGCGGACTGAAGCGCAACTGAAGTGACCTCGTTGACCTTTTTAGGCTCAATCTTGGCGCGGCGGGCCAGGGCACGCCCACAGACTATCAAATCGCTCACCGCATATCTATACGCAACGAGTGATTAGATAACAGAGAGAGCGTTATGTTGAAGAGGGCACAGCGATGGGAGTGTCATCAATTACGAGATCAAGGAGAAAGGAAGGGGTTCCATTTCCCGGGTTCCGGGCCGTTTCCCAGGGTTTTCCCTTCATTAGCTTAAAACTCATCATCGCTAAGTTAATTTGAAATGGGCTGCTTTTTCTGTGTGAATTCGTCCTTTAAAGCGTCGTTATCGCGATTCTAGACATGTTCTGAAGAGAGATTTCAAAAATACTGAGTATAGTCAAGTGGCTATGATAGCAATAAGATCACTTGAACATTTGAACATTGCTCGGTGTTACCGACACACTCGGGGGACTCTCCAGACTAAGATCAACTGACAGGATAAAATCGAAGCGTAAATATCAACAGTGACAATCCCATATCCTTCGATACCATCAAATGTATGAGCATTCTTTTTCATCTTGAGACATTGCATTGAACTGTTCGAAGCGCAGCGAAAAGTCTATATATCTTCAAGAAAATGTGCCTTGTCCTCTTTATACTCTTTCTGTGCGCAAGGCAATGCCTACAAAAAAGCCATGGTGAGCAATGATCAGTGAGGTTAGGTAGATCTGATAAATTGATAAAAGACTTCTTAAGTATAATATAATTGTGACGTGAAAGGAAAGCCTAGGAGACCTCTGTCAAACTCAACTTTATAATTACAAAAGGGCAAGGATCCAATTTACAAGGACAATTGGTACGCTTAACAAAGTTGATGGATTACGTGCAATCTCTGCCCTCGACGAGGCCGAAAATTCAGCAGATTAATTTCAAAAAGTGTATGTCAACCACAATCCAGTATCCGGAACTCCATTCCTCAAACTTTTAGAACCATCAAGGATTCACTATATTTCTCTAGTGATGCTGTTCTCAATCTCTTCTCATGTGGCCATCTAGCGTTACTTATACGCCTCACTTATACGCCTGGTATTCCTCTTTTGTTCGTGAAAAATGTTGCGCCCCACGTTGCTTTTCCTCTGGAATGTCTATTCAACGAATGTTTGCATTATGCCGAAGTTCCTCCCAAATGGAAAGATGCTTTTGCGTTGGCTATCTCGAAGAAGGCTCCCTCGAGCAGCCCGGGGAATTATAGATTGTAGACCTATTATAACATCTGGGTTTTGCCGTTCATTGGAAAAATGATTAACGATGCTACTGTTAATCATCTCGGTAGGAGCCGAACCTTGCACGATTGCGAGCACGGGCTCAGAAAAGGTCGTTCTGTAATGAAAGGTGGTCATCAGATAAAAAACGCGGTGGTCGCCTTGACCACCCTGGTCGTGCGGAAAACTACCGTATTGTTGCTAAACGCACTAAAAATGGTTAGGAGTTTTCTTTCTTCTTGCAATTAGTCATCCGTAGTTTCTCAGTTTTGCTATCTATAACGCTTGAGAAACCGTTTATCTTCAGGGTTATGCTTACATACTTCCTCCGCCGACGACGATGAAACCAGAGGATGGACTTAGAAGGGTGGAGTCGGTGATACGAGCCTGTCAAGACCGCAAGGCCTCTTCTGGTACAGTGCCTGGACGACGGTGCCTTCGCAAGACTCAAGAACCTGTCAGTCATCGGTCGATATTGCAATAAATGCTCTATTAATCCCTTGTTCATTCAGAAGCGTGGCCAGTGACTCGGGTGATCACTGCAAGAGCAAGAGCGAGAGCAAGAGCAGGAATTCAAGAAGTTCTGCCTAGTGCCACCATAAACTGGTGCATCGGTTTAAGGACTAGAGCCACCTCGACCTGAGAAAAGAGGGAAGACTACCAGGGACAGAACTTCACCCGCTGAACAAGATCAAGAACCGTTGCGAATTCACAATCGTCGGTACAACCTTCGGCAGCTACCGCGGGTTAACTACGAGGAATTCGGGGC